GGGGGGGGTTGATTTGCTGCCAGGCTCCGGGCGCCCCGAAGTGCCGGGACCGGGTCCACTCGACCATGCTGTGGTAGTGTGCTTGTCGGCCTCACTCGCTCCGACCCCGTAGCCGGGGCGGAATGCCACCTCCCCGCCCCGACGGCCCCCGGCCCGCGGTCTACCGCCCTGACTCGGAGCCGGGCGCGGCCGGCGGTGCAGGTCTGGGGGGGGGGGGGGGGGGGGGCGGCACCCGGCCGATTGTTTATTTTTCCAGATCCAAGCCCCGGGCGCGGCCGGACTCCGGGCCTGGTCCGGGCGCCAGGTCGCTGCCCGCCCAGGCCGGGTCTTTCTGCACTTTCAGACACCCAGTAGCATGCCAACGGAAGGACAAGGAGCATGTGATGCTGTTCCCGCGCCAGGCCGACTCCCGGCGCACCTGTCTGCAGGGCGGGCATCGCGCAAGCGCGGCCTCGTCCTCGGCCGCGGCCGGCCTCTCGGGAGGTGGGGCCTGTCTCGGGGGGGATCTTTTTTAGCGTCGGCCGGGCGGGCCCGGCACGGGTGTGTCTGCCTGTGTCCGGTGCCGCGGCCGAGGGAGCGAGGGAGAGGCAGACGCCGCGCTAGAGAGCCGTTCCGGTTCCCAGGCCACTGGGCCGGGGCGTGCGCGCGATCGCCGGGGGCGGTCCCCCGCCTGCGCCGCTGGCCCCTCTCGCCCAAGAGGCTCAGCCCTGCCGGGCGCCCTGTCCATCTGTCTTCACACCCCTCCCATCCAGACATACACGCACATATCCCTCCCCCCCCCTCTCTCTCTCTGTCTCGCCCCCTCCCCCGCCCTCCCTTGGCTACTGCTGCTGCTGCTGCTGCTGCTGCTCTCCCTTCCCCCCTCGTCGCCTGGCATACTTCTGCTCGCCTTCCTCCCACCCACCCCGGCGCCCCATCGACGGCAATGAGCGACCGCCGGCTTCGCCAGTACTTCTCGTCTCCGACCCCCCCGCCGGGCTATGTGCCCGGTGCCGGACGAGGGTGCGCATCGTCCGGCTGTGTGCCCATGTGTGTGTCTGTGTGTGTGTGTGTGTGCTCTTGACTGACCCTGCCTCGCCCCCGCCCTCCGCCCCCCGCCCCAGTGCCAAGCCCTTCACCACCCGGTCCGATATCGGCCCGGCGCCTGACACCTCGAGTGGAGACCCGCTGGACTCGCATGGCGGCGACGAGGGCTACGACTCGGATGACGAGGCCCAGCGCCGGCAGGCGGCCGAGCAGCTGGACGCGCAGGACCGCGAGGCCGAGGAGATTTATGCGGCCATTGACCGGAAGATCAGCGAGCGGAAGCGCCATCGCCGGGGCGCGGCCGCGAACACCGTGCCAGACGCCGCCGAGACCGAGGCTGTCAGCATTAGTGCCCAATTCGCCGACTTGAAGAAGGACCTCGGTCAAATCACCGCGGCCCAGTGGGACAACCTGCCGGAGGCGGGCCGCATCGTCGGCGGCCCCAAGCGGCCACGACGCGAGGACCGGTACGTCGTGAGGCGCCCCTTGTGGGACTTTCTCTGCAGCGCCCTCGAAGGGGGGAGTCCGGGCTCTTGCAATTGTCCTTCCTTTGCTTCTTTTTGCCTCTTTGGTCCCCCTCCCCCCCCCCCCTTGCATGTCCCTTTCCGCCTGTCGCGCCCTGCCATTGTGTCGGGATGCCTGTCTGGCTGCCGCCTGCGCCCACGCCCGTGCCCACGCTCACACGCCACACTATGATGAAGATACACACCCATGCCCGACTCGGTCATCGATCAGGTCCGCAACACTGGGGCCATGGATGCGGCCATCCCCCCGGCGGATGATGTGCGTACCGTGCCGGCTCCGGCCATGGCCCTCTTGCGAATGTGGCTTTCTCCCACCCCTTGCCTGCTCTATCTCTATCTCTCTCTCTCTCTCCCCCGCCCCCTGCCCATCTAATCCTGTCTCTTTCTGTGGCTCGCCGCACACTCCCTCCGCCCCCCTCTGCCCAGGGCTTGACCACACCCATGTCCGACCTTCGAGCCTATGGGCAGATGCGTGGGGCGATGCTTGGGTCCACGCTGGACCGCGTGTCGGACTCGGTCACCGGGCAGTCGGTGGTGGACGCCAAGAGCTATGTCCCGGCGGCCGGCGGCACGGAGAGCTCGGCCCGTGAACAAGTGTGCGTGCCCCCCCCCC